AACATCAAGAATAAATCATTCCAAAGCACAAAAGATAAGAATAACAACATCAAAACATAGATTAATATCTCAAAATATCACCATGATACAAAAGAGTTCCAAGGAAGTGTACTCAATCCTAAGAGAATGAAGTTAGTCACTCATGACAGCCATTATAATGCTCTAAATGAGGAAGAATTGAAGAATCCTTGAAGAACAGAACAATAGTCGTGCCTCTTCTCCAAAAACCTAAAATTACATCTAAAAACGTGTCTTATATTTTTATAGGAAAATTTGGGTTGGGTCTCGCATCATTTATTCGCTCAAGCGTTATTCTTTCTTTCAATTTTTCTTCAATTATTTCACAATTATGATCTTTGCTCTTGTATCCAGGTATTATGCAAATTCATCCTACATTGGGAGAAAAATATATTAGAATCACTATAATTTAAGTGGTTATATCACAATTAAAAACATAATTATATCAACTTTTATCACTTAACAATTGAATATGACCCAAAGATATGCACTTGTTACACTACCTTCCTTAAGTAAATATATCTAACATAAGTATATAATTGAAATATATTCTATCATGTAATATGATTAATCCTTATAACTTCTTTTTACACTACATGCTAAGTATAAATATTTCTTTCAACTCTCACCTCCTAATACTCTTTTCTATGAAAGTCTAATACAAGTAGAGTTAAGATATCTCATTTAGAATGTCAAATTAAATACATTATCTACATTTAAACATAAAATACTATCCTTAGGAATCACTATTTATACCTTCATCACACATCACATGTATAACTTACATATCATTCATATATATGTGTATGATACGATAGAAACAACTCTCAACCGTTAGAGGTCTCCAAAAGATGTTAGAATCATTTGAAACCATGTTATTTAAAATATAGAAAAACTATGTCTTTACTCAGTGACGATAGCATTTTGGTCACACAAAATACTGATAAAAAAAAATAAACAAGTTGTTAAACTAATACAATATAGCTAACTCGTGTCGAATCTCACAAGGACATAATTATAGGAATGTACTCATTACCCATAATATTAAATAACAGTAAATAGGGGTTGATGAAGGAGTGAAAAAAAAATGATACAGAATAATAATAATAAAAATCAAATTGCAATAGGATAATAATAATAATAATTAAAATTAAATTGAAGCATAATTTAAATAATTGAAATTTATAAAATAAAAACAAAGTGCTTTTAATTAAATTCAAAATTACTAGAATAAAGTATAAAATAAAGAATTGCTTTAAAATAAAATAGTGCAGTAATTAAATTTAAAATTTATGAAAGTGATAACTCTAAAACTAAATTGAGAATTATAATTGAAATCGGGAAAAAGATGAACTGAAAATGAAAATTAAGCAAGTACTAGAATAAAATAAAAAATTAAGAAATTAAATAACAAAAATTAAAATGAATATTGAATGAATAAAGTAAACAGAATAATATAAACTAACGAATTCAATAGAAATTACAAGTTAAATAAAAGAGAACAAATTGAAAGTGCAATAGTAATATATTAGTTCACCTAACTAAAAATTGATAACAAAAAAGAGAATCGAGATGAGACAAAACAACAGACTTGCCCTAGAGCAGGAGATTTTGATTATGTTATCATCGAGATCTTTATTTATAGAGGACTGACTAAGAGAAAATAAACCTGAAATTAATTATAATAAAATCAAATATTTTCTAAATTAAAAATTGCAGCACTATATTATTGCACAATGAGAAATTCCTAAAACTAATTTGAAGGAAACAATTCGCTTCTTTCCTATTTTGAGTGATCAAACGCTCACTTGCATTTAATTCTTGACTTATGTTGGTCTTTAATTAACCTAAATTGGATTCCCACAACAGTTCATTTGCTTGATTCAAACTTTTGTTTGTAATGTTTTACAAGTGGGCTGCACAAGCAAACTTGAGTTTCCAAAAAAAGTGAAGCTATACTCTATCAATTTCAATTTGGACCTTTATTTCCATCAATTTGGCCCATCTCAAATTACCTTTCACCTAAAAAATAGAAATATGCACTGTGAATGTATGCATGTATTTTTTTTATGTTAAAACTATGCAAAATGCAATAAAATAAGAAAAATTAAATTATGTCATGCTTTTAATTAAAACATGTTAAATGCATGGTTTATAAACAAAATAATTAACTTAAAAAATGCCTTTAGATCAGGAAACAAAGAGTAAACTGACAAACATCAAATACTCATTTTTTTCTCTTTTGCACTTCCAAGAAAAAAAGAAGAAGAAGAAAAGAATGCATGCATGTAATGCAAAGCTAGGTACTACTGCAAACATTAGTAACATCCTGAAAACTACAATGGTTAGGAAAAACTTCATCAATCAAAAGTGAGAGAATAAAAAAGATCAAGATCATAACTCATAAAGTATCATCATGACCGAGTATGAATTAATTCAAGGGAACATCCTCTCGTAATCAAGTGTTTGTTATACTCTTTCAAGTGTTTAGGATGAAAATTTCACTCATCACATCATGAAATCCTCCTTTACGATAGGTTGAAAGATCTCTAAATTCTCACCATTAGAACACATACCACAATAGATCAATAAGACTTTTTCTTGGCTTGTAATGAAGTTAAGGTTAAGGGTACGTTTAAGTAGGTAAGTGGGCTAAAACTTAAGGGGAAATAAAGAACATGGATCAATGTATGTTGTAGCTTGGTTCCAATTGCATCTTTCAAAATAGTTGTCACCTTTGTGTTATAGTGTCTTTTGAACTCTTTTATTATTTTGACACACACAAACAAAATGATTTTTTTTTTATTTTTTTTTTCTCGATACGTTAACACTTCTCCTTTTTTCTGAAATTATTGATGGTGAGTATAAGTAGATTTTTATGATGATTTCATGCTCTTTACTTCCCTCTAAGTCTGGGTGTGGATAGTTTTTGGGTTGAAAAGACTTTATTCTCGAGTTTAAATCTAAAAGGCTAAGACTCATGGGTTCAAAAGGTAATTGAGGTAAGATAGGTTATTTGGCTTAGTAGCTAAGGCAAAAAAGGTATAAATCATTTTTACTGGTATATGTACTTTTTTGGTGTCACAGAGAAATCAATCAAGTTTTAGAAGGTTTCCTTATCATGAGCGGTGCACACAAGAAAGAATAAGGCTCAAAACTCACCTGAGTACTTTGTTCACCCTGAAATTAATTCAAACCAATGTTAATGTAGCCTAGTCATGACTTTCTATGTGAATCAACCTTTCAAATTTTAAACTCTTCCTCCTGATCAAGTCGATCATCTTTTTTAAAGTAGTCTCCCATCAATCTATAACATTAGTTAAAAAAATGATATGAATGAAACTTCATGCATGAAATGCAAATAATCTCCACTTTTGAAGTTAACATTGTCTTCAATAATTGAGAATTTATGTTATCTAAATGCAAATGTAACCAAGTTAACACAACTCAAGTCCTTGATCTATCTCATACAAGAAACCAAAACATACTCGTAGAGAACCTAATCAACAAACTAAAACTCTAATTATGAACCCAAATTAGAAAAAAATTATATTTTCTCAAAAAATCTCACATGCTTCTTAAACGTCTCATGAAAAAGAAGGAAAAATAATTAACTATTTTTAAAATTCTAATCGGATAAAATTTATATACTCTTTGGTAACTTCACAAAAAATAAGTTTAGATCCTGAAAATAATGAACAAGTTTTTCAAAGTTATAAAGATAAGAGAGAAGTTTAAGTTTAGATATATAATATTTTTTATAAAATGAAGAGAGAATATTTAAGTTTTTTATTTATAATCTTTTCAACTTAAATATGAAAAAAAAATTCTTCCTTTTAATTTAAACTACTCTTTGACAAGGATAATTCATACAACAATTTTTTTTCTTGTTTTTAATTTATTTTTTATTTTCTTTGATTTTATTTTCTTTCTTTTGTAAAATATATAATTTTGGTAAGTTTAAACATCTTACATTGTTTAGAAGTTAGATTAAATATAATTTATATACGAATTTTCTTTTCTTAATATGTAAAAGTGTTTTTCAAATATGAAATCATAACAAAAGTTGAACTCTAATTTCAAAATATGATAATTAATTATTACGACGTCTCTTAACGAACTTGAGGTTAGAAATATAATCATTCCTACCTCTAAATATTTAACTAATAAACTTGGTATGATACATTTAAAAGTTTCATATTAAATTAAGTTCAATAATATGTAAATCCCCTTAACTTACAAAATGCTTTTTAAGATAAAATCATCATGAATAAATAAAAAATATCTAAATATAATAATTAATAAAAAATATTAAAATTTATATTCTTACTTATGATAGAATCTCATAAATGATTTAATGCTATTTTTTACTAAGTTAATAAACAATGACAAAAGAAAATAACAATGTATTGTTGATAATTTTGTTATTTGTAAACTACAACTTTATATGCACTAATTTTTAAAATAAATAATATTTTGAATGTGATCATTATAATAATTAATTATAAAGTTAAGTTAAATGATATATAAAATTTTCTCTTTTAATTTATATAATAGTTTTTTAGATAAAATGATGGCAAAATTTATATTCAAATAAAAAATACTTTAAATATAATAACTTATAAAAAACATTAAAAATTATATTTATAACCTAATTGAGGGGTTAAATTCTCAATTTAGTAGTCTTTTCCAAGAACATAACATTATATTTATAACTTACTAGTTTTTAGAACAAAAATGAAATGTATACTAGAGTATTTTTTTATTTGTAAAATAAGTAATATAATAAATAAGGTTATAATAAATATAATATACGAAAAAAAAATATTACTTTGTGTTTATTTATTCTTTTTTTTTCATCATTTGTGGTTACTTTACATATAATGATTTTAGAATAATTAAAATGAAAAAAAATGAGAAATTAAATGTGAAATTGTATACAAAATTTTAAAAATGGATGATAACTTTAGATTTCACGTGACGTGATGGATTTGACCCGTCTATGGTACTAATATAACTGATATAATTCGAAGCAAAATTTGTAAAGTCTTTTCTGAACATCATAGCATTTTTCAATGAATCCTGATGTCTGCTTATATTTTTAAACTCATGCTTTTAAATTGTTTTAATACATTTAAAATGTAACAATACACATAAACACAAAACAATGCATAATAGAAGTAAAATATATTGTAATGTATAATATATATAATAAGGTGAGGGATATTAACCTGAACAGTGGATGAACTGTGAATGTTTGTGCTTACAAGCTGCATTGCATTGGAAGAGGAATGAAAAGGGAAATGCACGGGGAAGATGCGAAGAAGAGTGAAGATGTATGTCGTGTGGGCCCCACTGTTAGGGGCGCGGGAGTCTCGGGGGTGCATGTTTCAGAATCATAAATAATGGTGATATCGTGGAGTGGGGTCTTCAAACTCTCAGACACATACACACACACACTGTCTCTGTTAAAAGGGCGCAGAAGCAGCAAAACTTAAAAAAGCAATACTAAGACCATCATCAGGTACTACAGACACACCGTTACCACGCACAGACCCCGTGCTACTTTTCACTCGTCATTTTTACCTACTTTCGGAGCTAAAAAAAAATTCAATTTATAGTAAAATAGTAATTATTATTTTGTGATACACAGGTAGGAATGAAAATCATCGATTTGTCCCTGCGCGAGGTTAACACTGAGTTAATCGAGTATTGGTTCACATTTTTCTCATTTTAATTACTTTACACTTTGATAAAAATTAATTTATAATTTTTTCTTATAAATTATATATTTTGTATTTATTGATATTTTAATCAATATTTAATATCTAAACTGTTCATAAGGTCTATGACTGGGGAAATTTATGGAGGTTAGAAATCAAATGGTTACAAAATATTTTATTACAGCTTTTAGTTGGTCATATTCCTTGACGTTTGAAAAGTTCCCATGCTAACACTCTTACAAGAAAACATACAGTGAAAATAAATAATTTATATTACGAACGGCTGATATTTGTTTCAAGCTTTATTTGGTTTAATTTTATTATTATTATTATTACAAAAAGAAATATAAGGAGAATAATATACATATCTCGAACTACTAAGTTTTACTCATGAATAATATTTACTGATTTGGTTCTGAATTCTATTAAATTAAAAAAAAAATTCAGAATGTTTATTTGAAGACATTATGATACTTAAATTAATATATGGTTATTTTTAAATATATTTATAATATTATGAAATAATATAGTTTATAACTTTTTTACCGTAATAAATGATATTTATTAATGCATTTAATATAATATTGAATAAGAATATTCATTATTACCAAAATAAATATTTAATAGACATTCAATGGAATTATTTAGAGAGAATATTTTCCTTAACATAATAATTTTAATAGGTATATAAGTCTTCTAAATTCAAAATCTAAAAAGGAATGAGTTTAATTTTTTAGTTAAGTTGTTTGAAGAAAAAATTGAGAAATCGAGTTAAAACTTAGAAATTAAGTTTACATATAGATTGGTCACTCGTTGAATTCTTGGATTGGTCTTTTCACTTTTTTATATGACTTCTTCCATGCATTAATGAGGGATTTTAGTAAAGATTTTACATCATCGTAGGATGAATTTTCTTCGCGATCATTGTGTTTTGTTGGTAAAAATCTAATTTTCAATTTTGGTTCTTTTTTATCTTCAACTTTTTCTTTGTCTTCCTTCATACTTTCAAGCTTTCCTCTATAAATGTGTTTCTTTCAAATTTTTTCTAAATATGTTTTCTCTATCATGTCTTCTTTTAGCTTTTCTAATGATTTTAGTGATGTCGTTGAAAAAATCCAAAAATCTTAAAATTAGTTCGAGTTTTTTCAGAAAAACTCGAAAGGGTAAATTTTTCCCTATTTTTCATCTTGAATATTCTTGGGTTCTTGGGAAGTAGGTCATTATTTTTTTGTTTTTTCATCCTCGATAGAAAATATTTACAAAGCTTATGCAATTTGTTATAACTCTGATATTCAATTCATTTTTACTGAAACTTGTTCTTCCACTTATTGCATGTATATGAAACTAACTTTAAACTCTTTAAGATTTTACTTCTGTATGAATGTTTATTATCTCTCTCTTTTCTTGGTATGATCCATCTCCCTCTTAAGATCCCTTTTATAGCCAATTCTTTTTTATTTATTTAATTAAGCTATTAAATGTACTTGATCAAGACTTTGAATAAAACTTATCTTTGAAATAAGTTAACTTTATCTTCTTCTTTTTCTTTTTTTCGATAATTATATATATATATATATATATATATATATTATTAATAATTATTATTTGTTTTTTAAAGAAAATTAATAATTAATATTTTTCTTCTTCTTTTATTTTTATAAATTAAACAATAATAATAGTAATAATTTTATATATATATATATATATTTATAATAATTTAACTATAATAATAATTTTCTTTTAATATATGATTTTTTTTATTATAAATATATTTAAATTACCCAATAGTATAATTTAATATATTGTATTTGAAAGATTTTACATGATAAATTTTGAGGTGTTAACAACTTCACAAAAAAAAAAAAACTCCTTTTTCAATAGATTAAGATGATCCTAGAAGATTGTAAAAAAAGTTAACTAAAAACGAACCAAAACCAATGGACATTCCTCCCATGAAGATTGAGTCTTCCCTCTCTCATTTTGAGCAATTAATGCTTTGAACGGTTTCTCAAAAGAACTATCATGAAATGAGTGTGACACGATTTATTTACATTGATAATCAGATTAAAAATATTTATGATCAACTTACAAAAATATAGTTTGATCAAGATGAAGGAAAATATTAGAATTGCTAAGTTTGATATGTGTTTCAATGTATTTTTTATGCTCATGAATAAAACGCTTTACTTAAATATTTTGTCTCTTACATTTTATAAGTCTTTACTCATCGTTAAATAGGGAATATTAATGAATTAATTAGCCTAAATCAAACAAATTTGTTACAAAAAGTTAGTTGATATCGTTATTAGATGATTTAACATAATCATTGAACGACTTATCATATCATCTCATCTTTTAGGTGGTCAACACTATAGTACGTAGTCCTTTATGAAGTTTAAACTTAACACTTATAAATAAATTTAATGATGTCATCAAAAGGAGAAATTACACAACTTCTCTAATAGGATTACATATATTATATATATATATATATATATATATATATATATATATATATATATATATAACATGTAAGTAATAAGTTTCTATTTTATCTAAATATAGACTTTGGAGTTAGAAAATTCATAAAAAAAAAAACCAGTTGAGTTAATTATAATATAATCATGGTAACATTTATTATGTTATAACAAATTACCATGGTTTCAAAGTGTTTCTAACTATGAGAGTACACTAAGAAAAGCCAGTTTCAATCATTTGAAGGAGTGTTTTTACATAGTACAATACTCCACATTTCTATATGGCTAAGACTTGGTTTTGAGAAAGTTTGATCAAGTAGTGGTTCATTGATTTATAATTATTATATCTTTTTTAAGAAATTATTATCTTTGAATTATTTATGTTTGTACATATATAGCCTAATTAGTAAGGCTAAACTTATATTTTAGCCAGGTTTATCAGGATTGTAATTTCTGGCTAGGAAATTAATAATTACGGTTTCACGTAAAGACATAATATCATGTAGGGTTTGATATTAGTACGTGTACCTTTCTTTCTTATTTATGTGGTAGTGTTCCTCTATTAAATGTGAAATTTAATGGACAAATTTAGTTGATATAAGGTTACGGATGTTTGATTCTTTTTCCCTTGTCTTGCACTTTTTAACATCTCAGTTATACTACTTGTTTTAAAATGTTTTCAATTAACACTGATATATAATTTATCCTTTTACATATAATATACCTTTAATCATCCAAGTTTTAAAATCTTTAAAAGTTAAGTTCATCAAATTTAGTTGTTATATCCAATAGTTTCAAAATTGGATTAGTCATTAAACTGATGAATACAGATTTAAGGATTTAAAAGATTTAACTAGAATTCAATCGAGATCTAACTGTATGTAATACTATAATATTGTATAATATAATAAGTTTAATAATAAATAAAAAAAGATTTTTATCATAATCATTGTAAATTATAATAAATATTATAAATATAAAATATATTAGAGAATAAAAAATAATAATAATAAAAATAAAATAAAAGTATAATAAAATAAATATTATTTAATGTTGACCGGAGTAATATGAGATAAAAAAAAAACTGAAAATATTATATCTTTTATAAAAATTTTAATCTTTACTTTTTTTTTTTAATTAAAACCCATTCTACTCGATCGTTATGTCGATTTCCTTCATTTTGTACCACTTTAATTTAAATCTAATTATTTTAAAGTAATAGACTAATTGAACCGCCAACTTAATCTGATTTTCAAAAACTGTGATTATTTCCTATGCTAGACCCACAAAACTAACTTGCAAGTGAAGAAAATATACAGTGAAGTCTTCAACATTAGATGATTATGACACGTGGTTAAGCTTCCTTCTATTTCATGTGTTTTTTGGTACATAACAAGTTCTACATCAAAATTATGAATCGAAATTACTCTTCTTTAAAAATAAAAACAAAGATCACGTAGAAATCGAGTTTAAATTTCAAAATTCTAGTAGTTTAACTAGTTTTTTGTTTTTTCTATTGGTTTAACCAATTTATTGATCCTTTCGATAAATGATTTATTCTTATTAAAAAATTTGTTTCCTTAAGAAAAGAGAAAGAAAAAGAAAATAGAGATATTGAGTACTTATTATTTTTTTTTTATATTGTTCAAAAGAAACTCGAATTTATAAGATCCACTAAAATCCACCCACTCCCAACCGGAAAATGTCGTTACACCTAAATATATATATAAAGATAGAGAGAGAGAGGAGAAGAAGTGACAAGGAACTTGATAGAATAGGAAATTTGAGATTATATTTCTGTAGTCTTTTTGTATTTGTATAGTTCTGAGAAAGATATGAAAACCCCTAAAAATTGGTTTGAAAAGTAGCAAAAAGATACTCCAAAGAAACGAGACAACTTAAAATTTGTATAGGGTATCAAAACAACCCTTAAGTCGAAATGCAACACTTGATACCAAGAAAAGAAAGAGGATGAGACTTTAGATTATATTTCAAGGACACATTCAAGTTATATTTTAGGTTCCTAACATTGTGGTTCTGTGTTTTAAGATTCTTTTAAAAAGAATATTTTTTTTTAAATATGTTTATTAGAAATATAACCTTCTTATAATAATGAATAATAATTTGAATAAAATAACTAATAAACGATAATTTTAAAAACACAAAATTATATTTATAGGGATATTTTATTTTGAAACGTATATTGTAAAATATACCTTAATATAAGTTTTATAACTTTCTCTTATAATTAAGTCAGTCATAACTAATATTAAAAATCAGTATCTAATAATATAGCAGTTTCATGTCACTAACTATGTATATATATATATATATATATATATATATATATATATATATATATTAGTATTGATTAATATTTATTAGGTATAATAGTTAATTTCATCCTTAAAATTGGATAATGTTTTAATTTAATCTTAAAATTTAAATAAATAAAAATAAAATTCTAAAAATAAATTTTTTTTATTTCAGGTAAATTTTTATATATTTTTATTAAAATAGAATTATATATATATATATATATAAAGATTTTAATAATAATATGTAAGAATTTGAAACAAAAATAATAATATAAAAGATGAAAATTAATTTTATGAGTAATTTATTAACATTTTAAAATTGGCCGAAATATATATTCTTCTATATATCGAAGAGATCATCAAATCTACTTATTAACAATTACTTGTAACTATCCACGAATATTTGTTGTAAAAAGTTATTGTAAACTTGAAGAAAAAAATGTTTTACTCACAATTTTGATTCGTTAATAATAAAAAATTATTGTACTGGATTTAATCTTTGTCCTAATTTATCGTTAAATTGGATTAGTATTTTCGAAATAGTTTGATAAATTTTTTTAAGTAAGTACTATTGATATAAAATATTATTGATTTTATTGATGATTAATTTTAATATTATTTTAATTGAATTTGTTTATCATCTATTATATTTAAATTTAAAATTTAAAATTTAAAATGATTATCTAACCTAGTTGCAGTCAAGTACAAACTTGATGATAATCATAATAGGTTTAATGTCAGGGAGTAACAAAATTAAATATACCTCATATCAATATTGAGGGGTTAGCATAATAGTTAAACATCTTCATATCAGGATAATTTATATTGTAAAAAATCTATTTCTCTTATTACATATACAAAAAAGCTTATTAGACTAATAATGATTATATATAGTGCCATGAGAAAAATTAGTTTGTGACAAACGAAAAGAAAAATTATCCTCCACTCCTAATTTAAACCAGTACAGTACTTTGTGTGTTTTTTACAGGTTGAGCTAATATACTTAGTAGGTTTGACTAACCAAAACAAAATCCTAGATATCCTTTTGGTATTTATAAGAATAAAGGCACAGAATGTAACAGCTCCATTGCACTCAAGTGGAAGTATAATTTTTCAATAATCATAATCATAATATATGCATATTGCACACACAAAAACAGCTGTTTGGTTTGAACTCTGCAATAAAATGGTAGTTGTGAGTAACACAAAAAGGAAAACAAATGAAGGGACAGAGTACAGAGAGAGAGAGAGAGAGAGAGAGAGAGGACTACTACTGCTACTACTAAAGCAAAGTAAAGAAACACACACTAATCATTTAACCAAAACCCTCCAAAAAAAACAAAAACTGAACTATGCACCCTAGGCTTATCTCCTAAGCTACACTTCCCTTTTTCCTTTTTTTAAATATTTCTTTTCTTCTTTTTTTTTTTTTTTTTCTTCACAAGCAAAGAAAGTCTTGTCAACAACCCCCAACACGGAGCCATTACCGGTTTCTACCACTCTTTCTTTCTTCCTTTGTTTCTCTTCTTTATTATTTTGCCCCTTCTTTCTTCTCTTCTTCTCACTCACTCACTCACTCACCCTCCGTACAACACATCATGTGAGAGTTTCGCTGGTTTCTGCCCTCTCCTCGCTGTCCTTACCCCAAAATCTGCAAGTGCAACCATCTTTGTCACAGTTTCTTCACTTCACCACCTCAACATCTTTGCTACCTCCTTGGACCCAACACAAGAAAACATTACACAAGTGCTGATGATCGATATGTGTGGCCCTCACACCTTACAACCATTCATTACCAATCCCTTTGCTATTTTAGGGTTGTGCAGCCCTTAGGGTTTGTTCTCATAGTACCCAAATTGAGCACCCCTTGTTGTTGAAGCTCTTGTTCAGCTTGGGTAATTAGCTGAGTGAGAGGGTTTTTTGTTTCCCAATTTCAGAGATTAATGGAGGAATACAATAATAATAATCACTTGAGTGAAAACGCAGGTCCAAGTCCAAGTCCAAGGCCTAATTTCTTGTACTCTTCACCTAGTGGTGGAAACCATAACCACCATCAGCACCAGCATCATAGCCATCACCACCAACATCATCAGTTTCCAATCAACACCTTCCATCTTCAATCGGGCGGATCAGATCATTGCTTTCAGTCTGATCAGGTGGCACAACACCCTTCTGTGAAAACCGAAGCCAGCACTTCTCAGCTTCACGCTCCTATTTTCCACTACCCTTTAATGAAAGGAAACCTTCACAACAACAACACCACCACTATGCATCACCATCCCCAGCAACAAGGAGGGAGTCCAACAAGCTCCACTAGTGAAGTTGAAGCCATAAAAGCTAAAATCATTGCTCACCCTCAGTACTCCAATCTTTTGGAAGCTTATATGGATTGCCAAAAGGTCACCTATTAATTAATCCATTATTATTGATTTCCAATTTCTCACCACATTAAATTTGAGTAATGAGTATACCCCCATTTTACCTTTTTTATATACACACAAATAATCATTTATCACTCTTGTCCTTCACCCTCTACCTCTATCTTTCTCCCTGTTTGTAGATAGGAGCTCCACCTGAAGTGGTGGCGCGTATGGTTGCGGTGAAGCAAGAGTTTGAGGCACGGCAAAGATCCTCAGGTGGTTCAAGGGATACTTCAAAAGACCCTGAACTTGATCAATTCATGGTGTGTGAAAGGTTTTAAACTGCTGCCACAGTTTCATTTTTTTTTTATCAGGATTCTTGATATTATAAAAAAATTGTAGATTAATTTTGACCGATGCGACCATAATTATGGTGGGATATGATTGTGAACACTGTATACTATTTTTTTAATGGCCTGAATGTGTGATTTCAATTTATTTTATTCAATTACTATTTTTGGGGTTTACCCTCGTTAGAGTTGGTATATAATTGGAATGGTGGTGGGTGATAATTTAACTATAACTGCAGGAAGCATACTATGACATGCTTGTGAAGTATAGAGAGGAACTAACAAGGCCTATTCAAGAGGCCATGGATTTCATGCGAAGGATAGAAACTCAGCTAAATATGCTGTGCAATGGACCCGTCAGGATCTTCTCTGGTACTTATTCATTCTCTTTATAAACACAGGAGGAGGAGGAGGATCCTATTCCCTTTAATTCCCTCTCTTTTATTTTTAATTAATTGATTCTTCTCCACCCCTTTCTCCTCGCATCCATGATAATAATAAATCATAAACGTCAATTATTCATAATTTATCACTAAGGTTTACTGAAAATTAATTAATTAATTAACTAATTATAGATTGTGCAAACATTCATTCAGCTATGAGTAATTCGTGCTGGGGCACAAAATTTTGGAACAAGTTCTGCAGTTCTTGAAAGTCGTAAACTCAAGTTCTTCTGTAGTGAGCCAGGAAAGTTTGACCAAAAAATTTACCTACCTACACACAGTGGGAGGAAAGGGTCCCAGACAGTGGAGATGATATTTCTTCAAGCACAGAACCCTAACCTAATCAGTACCCTATATTAAATATTATATATAATAATAACAAAAGAGAAATAAACGACATCTTTTTGTTTGGTTTCTTTTCAGAGATTTGACAAGTTTCATTTTATTTTATATATTCTATTGAGTATTGTCCATTCTTCACGACTCCAGATGACCTTTATATTTTTGTTTATTAGTGTTAATTTTTATTTTTATTTGAAACCCAAATTCACACGTTCTCGTCTACAGGCTCCTATTTCCCATGTTTCTGAGTTCTGACAAGTTGATTCTTCTAGGGTTTCCTAGTTAATCCATTTTTTATGGTCTGTTATGACTTCTAAAACCTATTTTTTGAGTATGCATTTCGTGGATTCGTGGGGTTTTGTAGGATGACATTCTCACACTGTCAAAACACACACTCTCATCATTGTGGTACTCAGATTTCGGTCTAGTTACAGAAAAATCCGTTTTAATCTTGTCTTTTATTCTTATTTTTTTCTCCTTTTGGGTCTTTGAGTCTAATTAATAACTCAGAAAGACTACATTGGATGCTGTTCCATTCCAATCTCCACATCCCCAAGGATTATGGTACGAATGAATTGTAAGTTTTTCAGATGTTTGATGAATATATATAATTATATATGTCTGTGCCCCCAAATAATGTACAATAATCTGACACGTCTAATTTTCCATAAGTCCCTTAATTGATATTTAAATAGATATTCTTATATGTAAATAAAGGTTATGGAAATTGCTTTTTGCGGTTTCTAATAATACCTATATATTACTCACCGACATGCATTTCTTTTTTTCATATTTTCACATACATGAAATATTCCACACTCATAAAGAAAGACATTCTGTGTTATTTGTTAATATGTTTGTCTGTTATATGGCTTAAAATTTCATCATCAATGCATGTCTTTCCGATGTGAATCACAAGCTGCTTGTTAATTTTCATGGTGTTGAGGGGTTTTGCAGCAAACCATGTGATTTTTCTTTTATAAGACAAAAAGGTTATACATTTATTGATAATGATAAGGGTACTCAGTCCATGAGCAATCTTACATTCCGTTTATTTAGTCACAGAATGAATCTCAAACGCAACCAATCATATCTCTCTCTTTATATATATATTGCCATTTAGTTTTCCATTGTGAGTTTTATTAATAAGCAAAAATCGCAACATTATTGCTCAGATGAACTTGTATTGTATTCAATTAACTGGTCATATGATTAGAAGTAATTTATGCACACACTTGATTTGCTGAAAAGATTTCCTTACTGCATCATGAGTATTTCTTAGTCCAGATAACTATCACCTACTAAATCAAAGAGAAATTCTAGGATATTGTCATTCACGAAAGAGTAGTTTTGAGTCTGTCTGTGCAGTATATTCTTATATATCTTCAAACTGAATACAAAAATATTGATATTTTTTTTACAATTTTCAAGATATTAAGTGTATTTATTATTATTTAATATTTTCTTGATAAAAAATGTTACAAAACAAATATTTCTGGAGTGTTGCTCGGAATGAAATATAACTTCAGACCTACGAAAATGTTGACATATCAGACAGGAAAATGGAATGGATCAATTTATATTTACAGCAAGATTATTTTGTATTAATACATATAAAAACAACCAATATACAAAACAAATGTCTGTTTTTAAGTGTTTTGATATGACAGAAAAATGGCTCTCTTTCTTCCCACGCAAAATAAGTCTCCTAAAACTATTCCTTTCTGTTTTAGATCTTATTTCAATATGTTCAAAGCGTGTTTGCATTATGGTATCTGATGATGTGATGAAGCACTCTGAACTAAATTACTAGTTCCATGGTAACAAAGGGAAAGGAAACACTTATTTTCTTTGCTTTTGCTCTTGGATGATGGGAGAAGACCCTATTTCTGTATAAACATTATTGAACCAAACAACCATGTTGTTTCATCTCATTATATGATAATCAAGTTTGGAACTCAGTGAGTACTTTCTAATGAAAAAATTATAAAGGTATATTTATTTTCTCTCTTCTCATTTCTACTCCATTTTTTCCTATATTTTTGGGTATCTCTCTCTTCTTTTTCTACACTAATCCGTCCCTACAATGGGTTGGATTGACATATATCGTTACTCTTTCTAATACCACTTCTCTGTATCATATTCATAACCATGCATTGATCATATACAAGAAATCATGTTCTTCGATCGCCATGCATCTCTCTACTCAGTATTTTTCTAACAAAATGCATATTCCAAGTTTATGAGGAGCTTAATGACTAAGACTGTTGCATGGTATTAAAATTGTTGAGCAGAAGACAAAAGTGAAGGGGTTGGTTCATCAGAAGATGATCAAGACAACAGTGGAGGAGAAACAGAACTTCCGGAGATTGATCCCAGAGCAGAAGATCGTGAGCTTAAAAACCATTTGCTGAGGAAGTACAGTGGTTACTTGAGTAGCCTTAAGCAAGAACTTTCAAAGAAGAAAAAGAAAGGGAAACTCCCCAAAGATGCTAGGCAAAAGCTACTTAACTGGTGGGAGTTACATTACAAATGGCCATATCCTTCGGTATGTTATGTTACACCTCACTCTCCTTTACTCAAAATCGTTAGCAACAAAGTTTCTAACATAAAAAAAAAAGAAAAAAGAAAAATTACTCTAGTTACTTTTAGATTTCAATAAATTATATAAAATCCCTTTTTCTTTAACAATTACCATAACATTCCTTGTAAAATACGCATTAATGTGTAAGAGATGTTGTATATTATTTTTTGAATGGTTGGTGTTAATTTACGCAATTTAAAAAATGATTATTTAATGTAATATGTAGCCAAAACTATTAACGGGTATAAGAATACAACATGATTAGAGGCCTAATCAATCATTACAAAATACATCACCAAGATTTGAATATAAAAAAGAATTTTAAAAAAACTGGATTTCCTAATTAATCTCTATATGATATGAAACTGAGATTTCGATATTTAAAAGAAGGTTAATAAAATTTGATTACTTAAACTAAAATTTTAACAACTAAACTAATAATAGATAATGTAGTAAAAGAAGAAATATATCAGAAAAATGTGTTAATATGTAAGATGATTCATTTTTATATGGTACAAAATCAAAATATGTTAATTGATTTTGGAAAATGATGTAGTGTTCTTGATATGGATAATTAATTACTACAGGAATCAGAGAAGGTGGCATTGGCTGAATCAACTGGTTTAGACCAAAAGCAAATAAATAACTGGTTCATAAACCAAAGGAAGAGGCACTGGAAACCATCTGAAGACATGCAATTTATGGTGATGGATGGTCTGCATCCCCAAAGTGCAACTCTCTACATGGATGGTCACTACATGGCAGATGGTCACTACCGTCTAGGGCCATGACATGATGACATGACCACCCTATATAACTATATATATTATTATTTTGCTATATTTAAATATTATTATTACTATTATTATTATTATTATAATTAAGTATGGAAGGTATGAACTTTTCATTAACAAGTAGACTGTAACCAAACTGGGTAACAGTCAGCACTCCAGCTACTAGTTTCATGTCAAGCATACCATGAACTTTAATTGGTTGTGCTTGTGATGGTGCAGTGTGAGTACTTGAGTAGTTTGTCATAGTTATATCGTATGATGTATTAAACAATGAGACCTTTGCTTATTATATTTTGAGTATAATTAGTATTCGCAGAGATAATTCATATGATATGTTACAGTTGGATTTTAATCTTCTAAACATTCCACTACCTTCTTGCTTTTCCCTTCTCTCATTGTTAACCTACTTAATATCGTATGATTTTCATGAAAAATTTAATGATGTGATAATATTTATAATATATAATAAATTAATACAATATTTATTATATTCAGTCTATTTTATAAATTGAGTTAAATATTTTATATTTATAAACTAAATTATCTATTATTGAATTAATATTGAACTATTTATTATTAATTCGAAGAAGTGTGATAAACTAAATTTTTTATTATTGAGTTCATATTTTGACCACTTATTATTACGAAGAAATGTGACGAAGAAATTTTAAAAGATTTTAATATAAATTAAAATTAATTTATATAATTTAATTTTTTTAAATAATTATATAAAGTTTTTTTTTCCATTTTCTATACTTTTAAAAAACTTTATACACACGCCCAGAACCTGTATGTACATCAAGCTTTTAATTTAAGTGTATATGACAATATCATATCCATCATGAAACTTGTGATGGTTTAATGTTAAACTGACACACTTGTGGTTCTTCTTATGTTTTCGCACACCTTATTAGAATTTGCTACAATAATGACCAAAATTTAGAAATTGATCCTACCTATAAGAAATTTTAATTTAATTAGGATTTTGATATACATATTAATATACTAACTACTAATTATGAATGTTATTAAATATTTTTAACAATTGTCGCTTGATTATGCATAACAACTTATATGAGTGGTTTTTTATCTTGAAAAAAATAAAATAAGAATTTTGTATATTACCTTATTTTCCTTTATTAAAAAATTACTTAATAATATTTTTTTAAATTTCATTTATTTTGATTTACTTATTTTTGTTAAGTTGTTTCATGAAATAATTATAAAAAAAATAAAAATAAAAAATTAAGCATTTATCATGTTACATAAAATTCTTCCAATGAAAAGTTGTTTCAAGTAGTTAATACTTTATTTAATTATCTAAATAAACAATTTTCATTAAGATGTTCTTACATAGTTTTTGATATATTTCTTAAGTTTATTTGCAAAAAATTGAATATATATTAAGAAAATTCACACAACCAATTACCTTATATAGTGGGTTAATAAAAATAATACATCTTAAAAAGTCTCACATCACCTATGATAATCAATGAAGTGGGTGATAAAAGCTAAATGATGGACTTAAAAATATATAATAGTTTGATGTCCAGTTAAAAATACTTTAAACTTACATTTGATATTTTTTTAAACCCTTGTAATAGAGTACTGTGAGATTTGATTTAAATTATTTCTTTGGAGACTGTAGGTGTACTTGAGGTTTGGTTTAAATTTTTTCTTTGGAGACTGCAGGTATATTTGGGGTCAAAAGACATAGAAGAATAATTCATGTGTTATAAAATTTTTCACACCTGGTTATCAATAAATAAAGATAGTAGTTTTTTCGTCAATTTTAATATTTTCATGATATATTGTGTTGATTATTTTTATCTTATTTATCTATTAATAGAGTGATTTTTAAAGATAAAAACGATAATATTATTTATTATATATTTTTTTTTCATCGGTAGATACATGTAGTCTTCAAGTTTTATCTACTAAACTATAAATTTTAAAAATCATTTTTCATCTAAATTAGAAAAGAAATCAACTTTTTTTAATTATCTATTTCCTTTTATTCTTGGGAAGGATTTGTTTAAAAAGCTTTATTATTCATCGTGAAACTTGTGATGGTTCTAAGTTAGGTTGCAATATTAATCTTTTGTTGTGCTTCTTATGTTTTCGTCCACTTTATTAGATATTTTTTATTTGTCATAATGATAAAAGAAAAACTATACACCTTTTTTTATGATAAAATGTTCATTATTTATTATTATTATTATTATTTTGTGATGGTTATCGAAGCCGTTACTGTAACTCAAACTAGTGTTGAAATTGTGACGTGTTGATAGGTCTTAAAATGGATTTATAGTGGCAAATATATTATCATTCTATTCTCACAAAACCATTCACCAAATCTTTTTGACTGGAGTCAATAACTTTACTGAAATTTCCTTTGTCATTGGTAAAGTAAATATTAACTACGTCTATTGTTCTTTAAAATTTCAATTATCATACAAAATCATATTTGGTATTTTTTTTCCTTAAATATAATAATATAAATATTAATTAAATCTGAAATAAATGTTCAAGTAATTCAAATATAACATTAAAAAACACATTATCTATTAAAACTCCATATAAGTACATTTCTAATGGAATCAACCATAATATAAATAAAAGCATAAAATTTAGAGGATCAAAAGTTAATAAAATATCATAGGGTGTATCTACTTTATGTTAAATTTTTTATGATTATGTTGAAATATTAATTAATATAATTTTAGGTAGGATAGTTTGTCGTATTGTTTTGTTCTATTTTATACTAAAATCTCATTTGAATTACATTTAAATGTAATTTGATTTTGTTCAGTTTAAATTTTTAAGAAAGTATGAAACAAACTAAATTAATATTTTATGGTTTAGTTTGATGTTTTTTATTAAAAATTATTAAATATATTATAATAAAATAATTATTAAATAAAAATATATATTATTTTTATATATTTCTACATTTAATTTAAAAATAACAATACCATATACTTTAAATTATTTTACGTTCTTAATTTTTTTTTCAATACCATATACTTATAAAAAGAAGTTTTAAAGGAATCAATCTTTTTTAATTTTTAATATATTTAATCTTTCTTTACTATATAAAGAGTGAACACCATTTTTTTTTCATTAGTCTATTTTTGTTTTTATAATATAATAAAAAAAACTGGTTATTCTCATTTTAAATTTAAATCAATTTTCTCTGTTAATCATTTCCTATATTTTCTTTTATATTTCTCCATTTTTCAATGCCTCAAAACGAAATATGCTAATTTTATTTATCTTATTTTGCTGTTTTTTTTATTTCTTTAGCACTTTATTTTAAAATCTCCATCGCTACATTTATTTAACCCTAATTTAAATTGTAACCCAACTTTGAAATATTCTTTGTAAATTGTTTACTAATTCATGTCATGTGAATATCCATTTGGTTCTCTTCATTTCCAATATTTTTCATTGCCACACTTTTGTTCAATTATTTTCTTTCCTAATTCATTGTTTTTCTTTATTTTTATTTTTTGAAGTATATCAAAATGAAATCAATTGAGGTGAGTTTAATAATTTTATTAACTCTTCACCATTTTATTTTGAAACCAAAAATATATTTAGATTAAAAGGGAATAATGATCTAAACTTTAAGATGAAAGTAAAATTTAAGTTTTTTCAACAATGCAGTCCAATCACTGTCTTGCTTGGGAGTAGTGTTTGGAGTGGCATGGCGTTTCTGCCCCAATCGTTCTGTTCTGATTGTCAAACTGAAACCCTAGACATCACGAGGTTTAGTTTGTTGCCTTGTTCTGGGAACATTCCTCATGCACCCCCACATTTTCTTCCTATACCCCTATTCATTTAAAAAGTTAATATTATCCTTAATATAAATAGGATTTATTCTAAAAGAAATAATAAATTTGAGAACTTAAATCATATAAAATTATTTTTTAATTTAATTTCTTAAAATTTTTTTCTATTCATCTTTTCCGAATGGTTAAATTATATTTCAGATTTTATAATATGGAACATAAAATTTATATATTTTCAGATTCTGAAATTTTTTCATATTTTTAATCCAAAATCACTCCTTATTATCTTTTCAAATAAATATTTCAGGAAAAAAAATGTGCCCTTCTCTGTTACGTAATTTGATGGAATTTTATCTGGGCTTTGCCCAATTTTCTTGTTTGCGTTTCTTACTAACATCATACTATTTACACTTCTCCTTTTGCTAAATACACATCCTTTTTCCATTCACCTATTACGATGTGGCTACCCCTCTTTTTCAAAACACTGCTTTCTACGTTTTACTCACGCTCCCCTACATCTTATAAACATCCCTTCCTACCGTCACTCTTCAACCTCACCCACATTGTTTTTGGTACCATAAATATTCCACGAAATCATGTTTATTTGTCTATGCCAATTAAACTCATCCTCGCATAAATCGATAGGTTTTCGTCCCAAATTTAACGAAAAAAAAAATCATGTTGACTGGAGTAAAGATAGGTTCTTGTTTTCTTCGATTTAAAAAGTGGAAAACGAGGTAGAGATGATAAGACAATTTTCACTCTATCTTTGCCTTATTTTATATCTAAATATTAAAATAATAATATTTTTACAGTATTTCATTTTCTTTCTTACATTATATACAAGATCATTTTTTTTCATGTTTCACTTATTTTATTTTTCTTCTACCCACTTTTCACCCTTTTGTCTTTTTTAATCTATTAGATCAATCTGCTTATTAAATTATTATCTTTCTCTTACCTTTTCGCTTATTCACATTTCTTTAATCTTTTTAATCAATTTGATTTTTTCAATTTCTTCAACCAATATGAGAAACACAAAGTTAATTTTTCTTCTTATTTATCATTTTTAAATATTCTACACTAATGTTAGTAGTAACTAATATTATTTTATTTATAATTTATCTTTATTAAATTTTATTATGTCATATGTTTTTTATTTTATTATTCCTATTTGTTATATATCAAATTTTATTTTAATAAAATAATTGTATATTAAAGCATTAAATAAAATTGATAATTAAAACTTTTATTACTTTAAACTAATTAAATAATAATTAATTTATTAAATATTTTTTATAAACTATATATTTCATATTTATAAATATTTTAAATCACAACTTTAAAAATAATTAACTTATATAAGTAATCAAATATTTGAATACAATGTTATAATAATAATAATAATATTATTATTATTATTATTATTATTATTATTATTATAATAATAAGTATTTTATAGTTGTATAAAGAAAAAATAATTAAATATTTCTTTTACATATATTTTAATATAAATATAATAAATTAAAGTATATACTTAGTTAATAATAATAATAATAATTAAAAATTATAAATATTTATTTATGTATAAAAAATATTAAAATTAAATATTATAAATATAATTATATTTTTAGAAATAATGTAAAACGGGACAAGTTAGGGACATGGAAACTCGAAAAATCTAATGGAGATGAGAACTTAATTTCTAACTAGAGAATTAGGGGTGGAGTGTGAACGACTAAAAAAGTGCAAAATTAAAAATATTTATAATTATTATCATAATATATCGTGTTAGAGAAATAAATTTATATTAACAAGTAAATATATTTTTTATATAAAAAATATCATAATTATTTATTTTAATATAATTAAAATATTTTGTTTGATTTTCATATAATATCAATTACTTCATGAAGATTTTAATCGTCATTGTTAAAAAAGTTGTTAGTTTTATTTGAAGTAGACTATTAAGTCATATGTATAATGATGTGTATGGTTTTAATTGTAGGAAAATATGATTTCTTCAAAGATCATGACTAACTGTACATGTGTATGATTAGAGTCATTGGATTAACGAAGTTTTTCCATGATAAATTTGAGTAATATGTAGATTAATTGTTTTCATAAATATGGTTGGATGATACTTAAATCAATATAAAAGTGATTTCTACCAGTATAAAATCATAATTCAAAATACAAAATATATTTATACACACAATCATCTCAACAAACTATACTCTAAACTAATGTTATTATCCAGGCATAACATCCTCGTGTGCAATATCACCTATTTCCATGCAATATCGGGATCATATCCATCAAGTTCAAATACTGTAAGTTTAATAACTTAATTGATAATTATTGCTTCACAACACAATATACATCATTTTATCACAATACATCTAACACAATCATATATATTTGCTAAGTGGTAAAAAATTGATATAATTATGCTTTTAATTGTTATAAAATTACTTAACTTATATCAATTTTAATCTATTTTTCTCCTAATGTAGGACTGGATTTGAGAATACCTTGATACAAGAGTAAGAAGCATAATTGTCAACATAATTGGAGCAAAACTGAAAGGAAGAAAAAGATTTTCAGCATGGAAGTCGCTCAAATGAGATAGATTCTCGCTTGAGTGAAAATCAGTTAAAACTCTCTAGAAGTCAGTCGCTCAAGCGCCAAAAATTTCACTTGAGCAAAAATTAGTTATTCTTCTCTAGAACTCACTCGCTCAAGCGAACACTTTGTCGCTTCAGCGAGAATATGAAAATTTTGCTTGAGCGAGTGTTGTTGCTTAAGCGAAAGACGCGAGACCCAATTTTTCCTATAAAAAGATAAGATGTGTTTTGAGAAAAATGTGAAGTTTTTGGGAGAAGAGGCGCGACTACTGCTAGGATTTCGTTCAATTTTCATCAAATCTTCACTTCTTCATCAATTTGAACATTGTAATGGCCACCATGAGTGACTAACTTCATTCTCTTGGGATTGAGTGCACTTCCTTTGAACTCTTTTGTATCTTGGTGATATTTTGAGATATTAATCTATGCTTTGATGTTGTTATTCTTATCTTTTGTGTCTTGGAATGATTTATTCTTGATGTTTGGGGTATGATTGAAAAATATATCTTGAACCCTAGATCATGGTAAGAGTATTTGTTACGTTAATTGCTAGGAATGAAATGAATGTATCAATTGCTTAACACCCTAACCCTAATGCTGAAAAATCTCTTAATTGTGTGCAAAATCAACATTTATTAGGTTTTCTTATGAATTTCATGTGTGAAAAATCAACATGGATGATTTGAGTAGGTGACATCAACATTGTTAGGTTAATTAATGATCTTAATTGAACATAGTCATTGCAAAAGAAGGAAAATGAAAGAAGCCAATCTTAAGTGTTTTTAATAGATAATTATAAACAATTTACAATTCTTTGTCATTTACTTTCAATTCAACTCTTTAAGAAAAACCTATTCTGTTTAATCCACTTAGTAAGCATATAATTGGGAATTTTTATTGAAACTATTTCTCGTGGGATCAACTTTTATTTAATCAAAATACTATACTGCGATTGATAATTTTGGTACACTTGCCAATAATTCAACAAGTATTTCTGGCGTCATTGTATGAGCGAAACTTAATTATTCTTCTCTGAAACTCACTCGCTCAAGCGAGCACTTTGTCGCTTGAGCGAGAATATGAAAATTTCTCTTGAGTGAGTGTTGTCTCTTGAGCAAAAGATGCGAGACCCAATTATTCCTATAAAAAGATAAGATGTGTTTTGAGAAAAGTGTGAAGTTTTAGGGAGATGAGGCGCGACTACTGTCAGGGTTTCATCTAGTTTTCATCAATTCTTCACTTCTTCATCAATTTGAGCATTGTAATGACCACCATGAGTAACTAACTTCATTCTCTTGGTATTGGGTGCACTTCCTTTGAACTCTTTTATATCTTGGTGATATTTTGAGATATTAATCTATGCTTTGATGTTGTTATTCTTATCTTTTGTGCCTTGAAATAATTTATTCTTGATGTTTGGGGTATGATTGAAAAATATATCTTGAACCCTAGATCATGGTAAGAGTATTTGTTACGTTAATTGCCAGGAATGGAATGCATGTATCAATTGCTTAACACCCTAACCCTAATGCTTGAAAATCTCTTAATTGTGTGTGAAATTAACATTTATTAGGTTTTCTTATGAATTTCATGTGTGAGATATCAACATGGATGATTTGAGTAGGTGACATCAACATTGTTAGGTTAATTGATGATCTTAATTGAACATAGTCATTGCAAAAGAG